CTTTCCTCATTCAAGCCTTTTCTTCACTCCTGCCCTTACCTCCTTCCTCAGCCTGGAGTCAGCAATTGCTAAGAAGCTTACAAGTGAATGTATCAGAAGGTTCTGGAGATGGCTCTCGGAAGGAAGAAGGTACACGTGCTTCTCTCCAACAGATAATATTAAACTTGAGTCATCAGTGTCTAATTTTGGGTGCCACGTTTCAAGTTGTGTGTGCCAAGCCATTTGGTCTCACACTAGTCAGACACATGCATTGTGAATCCCGGACTCTCATTTCATTTGAGTAAGTTTCTGTGTGCTCGTATGGGTACACCTTGGTTGGGTTATTGACCCCAGTGTGTCCTTGCCCTTCGAGAGGGAAGGGAGAGCACTGGGAAAATGTCTCATTTGCCACTGAATACTCAACAATAGCTACCTGGCTTGGGGCTTCACACACACAGCCGCCCAAAAAAGATGTGTAGAGCAGATGAAAGAACTTCTATTGAAGTCAGCTAGACTGAGTTGAGCCCAGCTTTTTACAAAGAGACTTTGCTGAGAAACAGCTGGAAGTTCTAACATCCTAAAGGTGTCCCAGGGAAAAAATATGGCCAATTAAGAAGAGCCAGTGTAGCAAGCCTCCTAGCTGGAGCCTAAGCTGCCTCCATCCACTGTAAGGACCTTAGACGATCAGGGCCTAACGGGCAGGCTGGTAGATGGCCGTCCCAGGAGAGAGAAGCCTCCTGCACGTGAACTCATCCTACTGCAAAAAGGGTCAAGCAGGCCAACCTGGGCCCGTGAACAAGCCTTAGTCATCAGTGAGGAGTGGTGACGCCAGTGACAACACAATGTCTGCCACTTGGACTTGACCCCAGACCAGCTCTAAATGTCCAAAGGCACTAAGCAAGTCACTTGATCATGCTCACGCACTAGGCAGCACAGCTTAGAGCCCAGGTTTTGAGGTCACCAGAGACAGGGTCTAAGTCACGGCTCCACTTCCTAAATAACCGTGTGACCTCTGTAAACTAACTTCCATTTCCTGACCTGTTGAGTAGAGGTGAAATACTAACCCGCCGAGTTGCTGTGAGGATTAAATGCACCTGCACCAGAAAATACTCAATGAATGATGGTGGCCCTCATCATCAGAGCCAACCCTGATAGAGTATAGTTGACCCTTGCACAGCATGGGGGTTAGGGGCGCCGGCCCCCAAGCAGTGGAAAATCCATGTATAACTTCACACTCCCCCCAAAATTAACTACTAATAGTTAGCCTTACCCATAACATATATAGTGGATTAGCATGTATTTTGTATGTTGCATGGATTATATACTGTATTCTTACACTAAGGTAAGCTATAGAAAAAAACATTAAGAGGATCATAAGAAAAGAGAAAATACATTTACAGTACTATACTGTGTTTACTGAAAAAAACCTACATATATGTGGGCCGCCACAGTTCAAATCCGCGTTGTTCAAGCGTCCACCATAGCTCATTGATAGGTTCTTCCAGTTCTAAGAGTCCTTAACAGTTCTGTGATTATAATGTTAATTTCTAGAACAAGGAGACTGAAGGATAAAAGCAATCCAATGAGATTTTTCAGATAAAGGTTAAGTGGCCATATTATAATGGCCCGAAGATTACTGCATTTATCTCAAAAAGGTTTGAGAATGGTAAACAGTATTTCTGTATCCTACTCACACAACGTACCACCAATCTCCCACTGTTGGGATCAATGGAGTTTGTTTTCTACAGTTTACAAGTTTGTGGATCTAAACCAAGCCCACATTCTGCTCTGGGAATGCATGTTTAGGACAGACATGAATCACAGCCCTGGGCTATTTCTTTGTCTTAGAACATTTTCCATGAAAGTATTCTTTTCACTTTGTTGAAGGACAGGATGTTCCAAATCAGTGAATCACTTTTATTTATAAAATAGAAGGGATGAGGTGACTTCAAGGAAAATGGCAGAATAAGATCTCGAAAAATCTCTCCATCAAAGTAAGGAGACCAAAAGCAAAAAGTGTCCGAATCAACTGGCTTGTGCTATTTCACATCCCGGGCTGCTTGTCCAGGACGCCTAACCTGAACTAAAATCCAATTATTTTTGATTGAGTCCCTCCTCACTGATAGTAAACAAATCATTATTAGCTCACAGCATTCATTTAAAACATATAGTTCAAGGGAGACAGAGTTACTACCCAGCGGAAAAAAACCCAGTTGTTTTGACTGCTTGCTGCCAAAGCCAACCTACATAGGCATCTATTTCCCTTCTTCCCATCAAATAACGATTCATCTCCCATTCTAGTCACACACACACACACACACACACACACACAGAGCCAAGGGAAGAGACAAGAGCCAATAGAGAGAACATACTGTGGGAGGACGTGAAGCACCCTGGAGGAATGGCGTGCACCATGTAGCACGGCGGAGACAGCTGAAACTGCCAGGGGAGCAGGCTGATTTGCTCCACAGAACCCAAGAGAAGGTCAGGAATTTTAGGCGTGAGACCCCTGTGAGGTGGGAATGGAAAGGTGGGGGCTGAAAGTAGGAGGACTGGTAGACCTCTCTCTTCTCCCCAGGTCCCTCCACCTCCCCCAGCTCGTGCATCCCAGGAGGGGCAGGGGGTGCATTTCTGGGGAGATTGCACCAGACAACTGGGCGCAGGAGCCCCCAGGAACTCTAAGGACGGGAGCCTCTACCAAAAACAGGAATTTTAAGTGAACTTTTCCACACACCAAACGGTGAGACCCACCCCCCCAGCCTCTTCCCTGACTCAGCTCCCAGAACACTGGCCGCTGGCCTGTACCCCACGCTACTGTCACGTGCAAGAGAAAAGCCCTAGGGGGCTCCCGGGTGGCTCAGTCGTTAAGCGTCTGCCTTCGGCTGAGGTCATGATCCCAGGGTCCTGGGATCGAGCCCCATGTCGTGCTCCCTGCTCAGCAGGAAGCCTGCTTCTCCCTCTCCCACTCCCCCCGCTTGTGCTCCCTCTCTCGCTGTGTCTCTCTCTGTCAAATAAATAAATAAAATCTTTAAAAAAAAAAAAAAAAAAAAGAGAAAAGCCCTAGGGATAGCCAAGGGAAAAACCAAAACCACGTCCTCCTCCCATCGATCAACTGTGAAAACCCCTGGACATAATCCCCACCTATATTAATGTCCTGTGCCTGCTGTGACAAATCACCATAAATTTGATGGTTTAAAACAACAGAATTTTATTCTCTCACCATTCTGGAGGCCAGAAGTCTGAAATCAGTGTCACTGGGCGAAACTCCAGGTGTCGGCTGGGTGCTGCTCCCTCTGGAGGCTCTAGGGGAGTCTGTCCTTGCCTCTTCCAGATTCTGGTGACAGCCAACCTTCCTTGGCATATGGTCACGTCACTCCGACCTCTGCCTCTGTGACCACACTGCCTTCTCCCCCTTCTCAAATCTCCCCCTGCCTCCCTCGTATAAGGACACTTGTGAGTGCATTTGGGGCCCAACGGAGAATCCAGAACAATCACCCCATCTCAAGATCCTTCAAGTAATCAAGTGGGCAGGACGGTTCCTGCCACGCAAGGTAACATTCACAGGTTCTACCAGTTAGGACATGGCCACATCTCTGGGGCCATCACTCAGCCGAGCACACCACCCACATGCAGAAAGCTTTCAGTCAGCCTTTTAGTTTCTCACGTTTGTTAGTGGGATCAACATTTTTTCACCTTTGTTGGCTATCTGAACTTCTTGTCACATGAATGGTCCACTCCCAGCCTTCATCTGTTTTACTTTTCTATTGATGTTTTTCCTCTAGATTGTTAAGAGTTTAAATAAGGCCATTAGCCCTTTATCTGCCACATATGTTGAAAATACTTCTCCGCATTTGCACTTGCCTGTTAGCTTTGTTTACAGTTTGTCTTCTGATGTACAAGAAATGTTAAATGTGTGGTCAAATCAAATACTCCTTTGCAATTCACCCACTGCGCTGATCTCAGAAAATCTGCCTTATCCTAAAATTAGATACAGGCTACTATATTTTCTTCTGGTTTTATGCTTCATTTAATTCTTTTATCAATATGGAATTTATTTTAAGATGTGGTAGGAAGAATCTAACTTAATTTCTAAGTTATTTAATCAATTGCCCAGCATAAAGTATTCTCTTCCGTTCCCTACTGATTTGTCATACCATCCTTATCGAATATAAAGTCTAGGGTCTGTTTCCGAACTCTGTTATCTAAATTCCTCTTTCAAATGTTCACTGAACATGTCTTTCTCCATCTGGGTTTCTAGTGACAAATAGATAACTCAAGTCCATCAAACCACCCTAAAATAATTTCATATTGTCTTAATCCTTCAAAATGTTTATATATTTATTTGTTTTTTGGCATCCTACCAGTTAAATTATCTAAAGGAGTTCATTTTTATCAAAACACGGCATATATTTGGAAATTTGTAGAAACAGGAAGCATTTTCACATTTTTGAAAGAAACCAGAGATACTTTTCCTTTTTGTTGTTAATACAATGATCTATCGAATATCTCTGAGGATTTTATTAATTAAATCAATAAATACCATGTGGCAGCCATTTTTCTAGGTGTTAGGTATATAGGACAAAACCGGATAAAAGTCTCCACCTTCATGAAGCATACATTCCAGTGGGGGAGACAGATAAAACAGGATAGATTAATGTCTGAGTGTAGTGTATTAGACAGTGATGAGTATTATGGAGAAAAATAAACCAAGGAAGAGGGCACAGGAAATTCTGAACGAGTGACTAGGGATGACTTCACTGAGAAGGTGATATGAGTCAAGACCGACAGAAAGGAAAGGACGTTTTACTTTTCTTCTATAACTTGACACACATGGGTTACTTGCCTTGAAATCCCTGGTATATCTTCAGATATACTTTAAGTATATCTTAAATCAATTACACTAATCATTCATTGCTTATCTACTACAGTGATCAAAATGTTAATCTTGACATATCAAAATGAACCACTGCATATTTTAAACATCAAATTCATCATGAGTTAATTGTCTACAATATACTTACAGGAGTGAAGCAGCTTGTTGGAAATCTTTGAACTGTAGAACGAAATACGAAGCTCCTATATATATATATAAAAAAAAAGACAATGTACTAAATCTATTTTTTAATGTGGGAACTTTGTTAACTTATTCCCTCTCTCTCACTAAATATTTAAAAATGCTATTCTAGATATGATGGGCATAAATAAGGTTTAAAAGCCATTAGTATTGGTTAAGTATGTAAATAAAAAGGCATGAGTGAAATTATTAAAAGCAACTTAATAAGTATATAATTACCTGGAAGCGTGCTTGGGAACCGGTGTAGGAAGTAGATCATATTGCCCTGGTGAAAGCTTAACTGACTACATAGAATGGACAAGGACACCAAAAATAGATTAATACAGGTCTTAAGCTCACTTTATCTTATTATCTGTCATTCATAATCCTTTATTTTATGACCATACAGCATTATGTAATTTTTCTTGATCTTAATAGTGGAAAAGTTCCATTTTCAAAGATGGAGCTTCAAAACATTCAACAAGCATTCCCTTTTCACGGTAAATTTTATGATACTGTGCCTGAGATGACGCATAGAAAAATGCTGTACAAATGATCATATTCTAAATGTACTAAATTCAACAAATCCATTCAACTACCATTTGGTGAGCCTACTCTGTGAGTAAAGTACTGCTGGGTATGGTGGGGAAACCAAGGGTAAGAGAGATATGGCCCCTGGCCCACAGGAGTGAGAAGGCACATACATGAACTATTCTAATGTAAAATACTATAAATAAAATTATAAAAGACAGATTGGAGACTTGGGGGTCGGGAGAGATTAAATCCAACTGAGTGACCCACAGCTAATCTCACATACTCAATGGTAAAACGCTAAAAGCTTTTTCCCTATGGTCAGGAATAGGACAAGGGTGCCCACTTTCTCCATTCCTACTCAACATAGTATTAGAAGCTCCAGCCAGAATAATTAGGCAAGAAGAAGAAATAAAAGGCATCCAAATTGTATAGAAAGAAGCAAAACTGAGGGATGCCTGGGTGGCTCTGCCTTCGGCTCTGGTCATGATCCCGGGGTCCTGGGATTGAGTCCCACAACAGGCTCTTTGCTTAGTGGGGAGCCTGCTTCCCCCTCTGTCTGCCGCTCCCCCTGCTTGTGCTCTGTCTCTCTGACAAATAAATAAATAAGATTAAAGAAAAAAAAAGCAAAACTTTCCTACTTGGCAGATGACATGATCTTGTTTGGGTTTTTTTTTTAAGATTTTATTTATTTATTTGATAGAAAGAACAAGAGAGGGAACACAAGCAGGAGGAGTGGGAGAGGGAGAAGCAGGCTTCCTGCTGAGCAGGGAGCCTGATGCGGGGCTTGATCCCGGGACTCTGGGATCACGACCCGGGCCGAAGGCAGATGCTTAACTGACTGAGCCACCCAGGCGCCCCAGATGACATGATCTTATACACAAAAATACCCTAAAGACTCCACCAAAAAACTGTTAAAATAAACAAAATTAGTAAATTTACAGGATACCAAAACAAATACAACAATCAGTTGAGTTTCCACAGAATAACAATGAACTATCTGAAAAAAAATTAAGAAAACAATCTCATTTATAATAGCATGAGAAACAGTATATTCTTAGGAATAAATTTAACTAGGGAGGTGAAAGATCTATAAACTGAAAGCTATAAGACATTGATAAAAGAAATTAAAGAAGGCACAAATAAGTGCAAAGTTATCCTGTGTTCATGGATCAGAAGAATTAATATTGTTAAAATATCCATACTACTCAAGGCAATCCACAGATCCAAAGCAATCCCTATCAAAATTCCAATTGCATTTTTCAAACATGGAGAAAAAAATCCTAATATTGATATGGGATCACAAAAGACTCCAAATGGTCAAAGCAATCTTGAGAAATAACAAAGCTGGAGGCATCACACTTCCTGATTTCAAACCATATTACAAAGCTGTAGTAATCAAAACAGTGTGGTACTAGAATAAAAACAGACACATAGACCAATGGAATAAAGTTGAGAGCCCAGAAATAAACCCACACATATGTTGTCAACTAATATTTGACAAGAGCACCAAGAATACACAATGGGTAAAGGATAGCCTCTTCAATAAATGGTATTGGAGAAACTGGATATCCACATGCAAAAGAATGAAACTAGACCCTTATCTTACACCAGTCACAAAAATTAATTCAAAATGGACTGAATACTTAAATGTAAGACCTGAAGCCATAAGACTCCTAGAAGACAACATAGGGGAAAACTCCTTGACATTGGTTTGGCCATTGATTTTTTGGGATTTTTTTGATAAGTTGGTAATATCCAAAATATAGAAGGAACTAATACAACCCAGCAGCTAATAACAATAATAATAATAATAATAATAAAGTCTGATTAAAAATGGGCAAAAGACCTAGATAGACATTTTTCTAAAGAAGACATACCAAAGGCCAACATGTACATGAAAATGTGCTCAACACCACTAATCATCAGGGAAATACAAATCAAAACCATAATGAACTATCACCTCACACCTGTTAGGAAGGCTATTATCGAAAAGATAAGAGGTAAGTGTTGGTCAGGATATGGAAAAAAGGAAACCCTCGCGCACTGTTGGTAGGAATGTGAAGTGGTGCAGCCACTATGGAAAACAGTATGGAGGTTCCTCAAAAATTAAAAAATAGAACTACCATAGGATCTAGTAATCCTATTTCTGGGTATGTAGCCAAAGGAAACAAAATCAATATCTAGAAGAGATATCTATACTGCCATGTTCACTGAAGCAGTATTCACAAATAGCCAAGCTATGGAAACAACCTAAGTGTCCACTGATGGATGAGTGAATAATGAATATATATATGATATAAATGCTATATATATGTGTCTGATCATATGTGTGTATGTATATGTGTGTGTGTGTGTGTGTGTGTGTGTGTGTGTATATATATATCTCACAGGAATATTATTCAACTGTGAAAAAGGGAATCCTGCCACTTGCAACAACATGGATGAACCTGGAGCACATTATGCTAAGTGCAATAAGCCATGAAAGGCAAATACAGTTTTGTATCACTCATACATGGGACCTAAAAGGGTACTCATAGGGGCACCTGGCTGTCTCAGTTGGTGGAGCATGTGACTCTTGATCTTCGGGTTGTGAGTTTGAGCCCCATACTGGATGTAGAGATTGCTTAAAAATAAAATCTTTAGAAAAAGAAAAAAGAGGGTATTCATAGAAACAGAATAGAATGGTGGTTGCCAGGGGCTGGGGGTGGGGAAATGGGGAGATGATTGTCAAAGGGTACAAACTTTCCATTATTATATGAATAAGTTCTGGGGATATAATGAACAGCATGGTGACTATAGTTAATACTGTATTGGATGCTTGAAAACTGTTGAGAGTAGATCTTATGTGTTCTCACCACACACACAAAATAGTAGCTATGAGAAGTGATGGATGTGTTAATTAACCTGATGTAACCATTTCACAATACATACACATATAGTTTCTTTTGGGGCGGGGGAGAGTGAGGGAGGGACAGAGGGAGAGGGAGAGCCCACTGCGGGACTCCATCCCACGACCCTGAGATCATGACCTGAGCTGGAATCAAGAGTCTGACACTTAACTGACTGAGCCACCCAAGCGCCCCACACAATGCATGCAAATATAAAATCATCATGTACACCTTAAATATATACAATTTTACTTGTCAATTATACCTCAATAAAGCCAGGGGGGAATAATTGAATAACTAAATCCACCTGAGTGGTTTAAAGATGGCAAAGAGGGGCGCCTGGGTGGCTCAGTCGTTGAGCGTCTGCCTTCGGCTCAGGTCATGATCCCAGGGTCCTGGGATCGAGCCCCGCATCGGGCTCCCTGCTCCGCGGGAAGCCTGCTTCTCCCTCTCCCACTCCCCCTGCTTGTGTTCCCTCTCTCGCTGTGTCTCTCTTTCTATCAAAATAAATAAAATCTTTAAAAAAAAATAAAGATGGCAAAGACTGAAATTTGAGTGGGGTTTTAGGGAAGGCAGGACTTCCTCGAGGGGGCCATGGAGGATATTTTAAGGAGGAATGTTGCAGAAGAGACAGTCTCTCTCTCTCTCTCTCTGTCCACTGCCAAACTTGTTGCAAAGAACCCGGGAAGCTCCACTGTCTCTGGATCTACAGGTATTAGCCCAGGAGTATGTGACGTAAGGGAGTGCCAGGAACCGGCACGCTCAGAGAGTGGGATGTGTGACAGAGGGGAGGAAGAGAGGGAAGGAGAACTAGAAGCCAGGGGAAAGAAGACAGACCCGACCTCCAGAAGTTCCTATGTCGAAGGAGCTGGCAGAGTGGAGTTGGGTTACAAAATCCTGGGAAGAAGCCTTCCGTAAGTCAACAATCTCCCCCAACCCCTATTATTTTAAAATCAGATTTAAAAATACAATACTGCCTTTGCTGAAAATGAGGTATCTGTATCCTGGCATTATCTACCGCATGGAAGTTCAGCTATTATATTTTACCTCACAGCTGTCTTCACATATTAATATAATTTTGATTGCAGAGGCAGCTTTTCGTGGATACAGTGATAATAACAGTAAATACAGACTTTATGATGAAATACATACATTGTCCTGATGCACCTGTGCTTGTTGACTGCTCACTCAACATAATAAACACCAAGGAAACATGAGTTTGTTTCATCATACCATGGCAGCACAGGAATGTTTTTCAAGCAAGCGGCTTTCTTAGGGGCCATAGCATTTTATTTCTTGATTTTGATGATGGTTACATGGATATTTGCTTTCTATTTAAACTGTGCATATGCTTTATGCTCATTGTTCCTGTGCTCTCCCTCTCTCATGCACATAAACATACGTACACAGGAGAAGAAATAAGAAAGAGAAGTGAAAAGTGAGAAAAAAAAAACAAAAACCTTAAGCTGCTGTTTGTTCTATGCTCAGCAATCACAAAAGATTTATGTAATAAAGTACTCATGGAAAAACTCTTAGCATTAATCTAGAAAGGAATACTGATTACCCAAAGCTTTTCTATTTGTCCTACTTTACTTGCATTGGCCATTCTTTGCTATTTAATATAGCTCAGAGAGGGCTGATTTTTTTCCATAATCTTAAATAGAGACTCACATAAGAGACCATTTCTTTGCACATTGCTGAACTTGTTGCAAACTGTGTGGTTGGGTTTAATGGAATATATATATATGAGAATGAATGAAAAAGAATGTATATATGTGTGTGTATATGTGTATATGCGTATGTGCGCGCGCGCACACACACACACACACACACACACACACACACTTCCTAAGTCCTATATATGATTCTCAACTCTTTATTTG